AGGAAGGCAAAACAAGAGTCAAAAAAATTGCTTGCAGCAAAGGTCCCGCGCATTGGTGTTTTACCTTTAAATATATGTTACAATTAAGGGGAATGGAACCAAATGAGTGGTGATTTTTTTTCTTTTTTTCCCCCACTCCTATTGTGATCTTTGAATGTATTTATTACAAGATCTGAAGCAAAGTTCAAGTCAAGTCTATCCTTCTGTAACACAAACAAAGACGCATGGCTCGTGCTTAATGTTTGGATAATTATGTGCTCTTAAAGGCTATCTGTCTTGGAGTAACCCGAGACTTGGTCCTGGAAAAATGTTCTTCTTTCTATGCTCATCATGGATACGGTGCTGCATGTCATGTTGTGACATTTTATGGGTGGTGGTTTAGCAAAGATGATCTGAATATTTAATTTGCAAGCGATTGAGATACCACAAACAAACAAACAAAAAGGCCTTTGTTATGCTTTTTTTTTTTGCTTTTTTTTTTTTTTGCTTTTTTTTTCCCAGTAGTGTAATAAGAGGGATGTCTGCCTTTTCATCCCTTTCGAAATCATCTGCTATATAATCGCGACTATGAATATTAAAAGTCAAAGATCACAGCCCGGGCACAGGGAAAGCGTGTGTTCATAAGAACTGCCTGTGTGCAGTGTGGTCCTCATTCGGAAGGGGCTTCCACCCCATCAGTCCAACCGTTCGCAGGACTTGCCACCCGCTCGGCTCCCTGTTCATCTATCAAATGTGCTCGCTAACTGCTCTCGAGGAATATCACCCGTGTGCGGAATATAACAGTAACAAACGTTTTTATTGCAACAGGTTCGGCAGCATGGAGAGACATCCTCGGTGAGTAGTCTCTCTTTTCTCTCCCCCCCTTCCTTTCTTTTCTTTCTTTCAGAATTAGCGTTGCTTGCAAATGTTGCTTCTTTTCCTTGGATTGGAACAATTAAGCCAGATCTATCCCTGCAGAATATTGCTAAAAAAGAAAGAAAGAAAGAAAGAAAGAGAAAAAAAAAATTGTGAGCACGTAAATTCTCCTGGCTGTTCGGTTCATGGTATCACGTCCTGGCTGGTCCTAGCGAGGATACCGAGCAGGGCTCGGTGTGGCGGGATGGCTGGTGGGTTATGGGGCTGTACAGGTGTCAGGATGCTCTTAGCAACAATTAGCAGCGTTTCCATTCTAACTTGGCGGAACTATACAGCGCCTCCCCATGCAGATACAGCATTTCTCATGTTATATCGCAGCGCCTCATAATCTTGGCTACTCCTCCTTTTTTCCCTTCTTTTTTTTTTCTTTTTTTCCAAATGGGATTCAAAGTGATGTTTCCTACCTAATCTCAACCTCGTTTGAAGGAGCGGAAGGCGGGCTGATATTTGGCCGTTGTCAGCATCAGAGAGGCGTGCTGTTAGCCTACCGGGGCCATTACGATATTCCAAGTAGGATCCTGTGCTCTGCGGAGTCTCTCTGGGCAAGATTAAACCAAACATGGCTTTAAAAACTGTGAAATGGATAGCTGAGCCTCCGAGGGCAACTCTTAGTGTGTGTCGTGTGTTTGGTGGTTCAGAAGAGCTAACCCAGGGACAGAGGGTGGGTGATAAGGGGACAGCTACATCTGGGGCAGGAAATGCTGTTGAACCTCTTTGGCTGCACTAAGGAGTTAAATGCATTAGCTCTGGTGCTTCACACTGAGGCTGGCTTGTCTCTCCAAGAGGAAAAGAAAGTCTGCGATATCTATATGTTCGTTAAAGGCATATTGCCCCCACTCCTGCAAACTATGCTCTGGCTAGGAGAAAACACAAGAATGAAGCTGTTTTGATTGGTATTTCTCCCTGCCTCCTCCGACGCTTTCTAGAGGGGGAAAAATTACCAATTTCTCTGCTTCGTGCCGGTCTGCTCTTTATCTCTTTATTTTTAGTAGCGATATTGGTTTTCGAGCCCTTCAAATAGGAAATAAGCAGTTGCCTCCAGCGTTGCGTTTTTAGCGTTGCTCCATAGGTAACGCTCGTAAAAACCCTGCGTCACTTCTGTGCCCTTGGCATGTTATCCCTGGGCCGACCCTAAATGTATGGATTTCTTGCTTTCTGCCAACGTACATTTAGCATACTGATTATGAGGCAGGATACAAAAAGGCTGATAGATCAAAAGCATTGTGTATGCGCAGTTGAACAGGAGGTGAATATATAACGCTTTTGTTCATCAATAACTCTTTGGCTTTGACCTGTCTGAGCAAGTCGTGCAATAAGGTGAAACTCAGGTCACAGCGTCTAACAAATATGAAAATGCGCAGGATTAGGCAGGGCAGGAGCTGCTGCACCCCCAGCGCCCTCGGGGCTCGGGAGGGGTCTGCCTGCCCCGTCCAGAGACGCCCCCGGCCCGGGGCACAGGGGAGCAAAGGGGTTCCCGTCTCCCGGAGTTGGCTGGAGGTGGAAATCGCCCTGGGAAGTGAAATCATCGCGGGTTGCACTTGCTGCGGAGAAGCCGCCGGAAAGCAGATGTTTCCGAGCAGCATCGCCCCTCTGGGCAGCCGGGGCTGGGGGCGAGCAGCGCACATCGGTGGGCGAGCGCAGCACCCCCGCGGGTGCCCTCCGCATCGCCCCGCACCATTATCTGTCCTTATGTCCCTCGGCTTAAATAGCCAAGGAGAAGAGGTTGAGCGCGGGACAGCGGAGAGGAGCTGGGTCAGGCACAATTCATGAACTTTTGTACTCCTGTGTGCGGCTGTCGGCAAAGCAAAAATAATGAAACTTTGTGCTATGTTTGTAAATGATTTCGGGTGACCTCTCGCCCTGCCCTTCACCATAAACGCTACGACGGGGGAACCTGGGGAGGGTGCGAGGCTGCGGCTCATACGCAGCCGGCGGCGATAAAAAGTAGACCAGCGTAATGTGGCCAAGGTAAATTTGGAAATTCTCTTCTTCCCCAGAGCTCCTAACTCCAGTCTTATTCTCGTCTTCTTCTTCTTCTTCTTCTTTTTTTTTTTCCCCACGAATCGCTGTTTCTGTTGTCCCCTGTTTTACTTCTGTTTCGATTTTTTAAAATTCTTTTGTGGGGGAAATTATAATTAGATAAAATCTCTTCAGAGATTTTATTTTAGACTAGATAGGAAAATCCTCTTTTGTATATAATTTCTATACGATTTTAAATATTACTGTTCTAAATAGCGCAATTTGACTGGTAACTCCCATGATCTCTAGCAGGGTTGTAAACGACAGTGCATTTAAAGAGATCAGCTGGTCTTGTAGAGAATTTGTTATTCGAAATTCGTCTCAGTAAATTGGGGCAGAGTCATAAAGCTCTATTTCACAATAATAACAACTACCGCGAATCTTTTCTGAAACCCCGTCTTTCTGCAAATCCATATTTCAGAACTTTATCCGACAGAATAGTTTGCATCCCTCAGAAGACAGTAAGGAATAAAAGAATTGCAATGACCTGCTATATTGTAGGTGAAAACAGAATGTTATTACGTTGTCTATATATACCCTGTAGAACCGAATTTGTGTGGTATTCATATAGTCACAGATTCGATTCTAGGGGAATATATGGTCGATGCAAAAACTTCACCTTTCTGCAGATGGTTAGGAGTTTAAATACTGATGGAATCAAAATACTCGTGCACGCTGAATAGTGAGAAATTCCAAAAGTTTTGCTGCCCCTCTCATTTTTTATCATACATGGCAACGTTTCTATAAATTTCATTTGTTGTTCAATCGTAACTGCCAGTAACAGACTGTGATTTTAAACAGCTAATCTCGCAAGAGCTGTAAATTTTCTGTAAAGAAAAAAAAAACAGCGCATAAATCTTTAAATAGATACTTATAAATTAGTTAGATACGCCAGACATTAGCAAAATTTTCCTGTCAGGTGTCCAGATCTCACCAAAATATTTACGACAGCAGCAAAAGCAGCATTCAACTCTTTGGAACGTATTTGCCTGTGCTCCAGGAATGATGCTGGTGAATGAAGACAGAATTTATTTCATTAATCCTGTACTGTTTTTAAACGTAATTAAACGCCACCGTCAGTTCAATTGACCGAACTTTAGCGTTTAAAAGTAAACAGTTTATTGTTATCTCTGTGATTGTTTTTTTTTTTTTTTACACATATAGGTATATATATGTGTGTGTGTCTGTGTGTATACGCAAACACACGTATATATTGAGGCTTGCAAAGTGAATGAGAAGTTACTGATTGCCTAATTTTATTCAGCAGAACTAAATTCTGGTAACTTTTGGATGACCTCTGAGAGACAAAGACAGGACAGATCTATTGTACATCATATTACCCTCTTCTTTGATGTCCTTTCTTGTCCTCGCCTCATTATCAGATTCCTCCCTTTTTAAAAACCCCACTTCAGCTCCTCGTTCCTTATGTCTTTCGATATTTTATTTTAACCAAAGCAGCAAACCCCGGTTGGGATTTGGGCTGCTGAATCGGAGGGAAGGGCACCAGAGGGTAGCCAAGTGAGCGCAGACAAAAGGCTGGCGATACCTGCGGCTCGGGCGGGCGCCCCGCACTCGGGGCTTATTCCTAAAACGCTCCTCTGTGCTTCGGGGAGGGGGAAAGCTGGCTGAGGCGGGGGTCACTCGATTACACGTATGTTATTTAGTTAAATTTGTGGGAATTATGAGCTGCACACGGATGCGGTGATGAGCTCGCCGCCTCCCCATTGGCCGCGCCGGTCACATGCGCGCCAACTTTATTCAGTTGACAGCAAGTAGGAGGGCTCTATGGCAGGGGGAAAAAAAAGACAACACGAGAAAAATTAGTATTTTCTACCTTCAGAAATTAATGGCCATGAGTTCGTATATGGTGAACTCTAAGTATGTGGATCCCAAATTTCCTCCTTGCGAGGAATATTTGCAGAGCAGCTACCTAGCCGAGCAGGGGTCAGAGTACTACAGCGCCTCGCAGGGCGCTGATTTCCAGCACCAGGGAATCTACCCACGGTCAAACTACAGCGAGGCGCCCTTTAGCTGTAGCAGCGGCGCCCGCGCTGCCCTCGTCCCACGCCTGCAGCCAGCAGCCGGCCCTCAAACCGCCGAGCGGGGCAGCGCTTAAGCAGCCGGCGGTAGTTTATCCCTGGATGAAGAAAGTCCATGTTAACTCGGGTAAGGATCCTCTTCTTACTTTGCTCTTTTCCTCCACCCCCAGCACTTGCGGTTGTCCTCCGAGGTGGGGGCTCGAGTTCTCTCGCTCGCAAGGCACCCGGGCGAGCATTTTTTTTTTTTAAGTGAGGGAGCCAATTACACTCGTCATAAATTTTTATTGCCGAGGAAATAGGCCGCCGACCATGTGGGGCTTTTCTCGGCTCTAGAAGCTCTTGGAGGCTCGCAGCCTCCCTAGCCCGGCGCGTCCCTGTGCTGAGCACGGGTGGAAGCAGTACGCCCATTGTAAGGCACTGGGATGAAGCCAGCCCGGCCACATGCTCGCAGCCCGTGAGGTTTTGTTTGGTAAAGTAGAACCGGAAAGTCAAGATTAGCTTTGTAAAGTTCTCCGTATTTTTTTCCCAGTGAATCCCAATTACAGCGGAGGGGAACCTAAGCGCTCCCGAACAGCTTACACCAGACAGCAAGTCCTAGAACTGGAAAAAGAATTTCATTTTAACAGGTACCTGACTAGGCGCCGCCGCATTGAGATAGCCCACACTTTGTGTCTCTCTGAGCGCCAGATCAAGATCTGGTTTCAGAACAGAAGAATGAAGTGGAAAAAAGATCACAAACTGCCCAACACTAAGGGCAGGTCTTCTTCCTCTGGTTCAAACCCACATTTACAGACTGTTTCCAAGGACCGTCAGACTGACTTGACAACTTTATAGAAGAGGTGAAATTTTCCATTTCATCCTTTGCTTCTGACCAGTACTGTACATAACTGACATTATCCAAGCAGAACCTGCATGTAGCAGCTAAAGAATCAAGAAACTGTCATCTTTCTTTAAGGTACTGCTGTACAAAGGAGAAAAAATGACGCTACTTTGGACTTCATTTTATTTGCCTCTACTAACACAACCTAAAAAACAAAGAAAGAAAGAATGAATGAATGAAAGAGAAAGAAAGATAACAAGCTCCATGCAGGCAGTGGGAACTGGGAAAATATTAAAGGAGAACTTCTGTCCATTAATAAATCATTGAAAATGAAACTGTCCTGTGTTTCAGTTTTGAATTTGAAAGTGAAGGTTAGAAGGTTTATTCTGGAATTTTTGCTTTTAATTGTCTTTTTATCTCATGCAGTTTCGGGAAGAGGCATTTGGGCAAGTCGAGATCAGGAAAATTATAGCATTGTCTTTTATTTAACCATGAAGTATTTGTGAACTTTTTGCGCTGCTTTAGCTTTCTTGGTGTAAGGAAAATACTTGCTCATTTCCATACTGTCTCAGAAGATGTGCATAGGAATTAAGTGAAAAACGGGTTATTTTATGTTCTGATTGTGTTAGTATATTTATTTATTTGTTATGTAGACGAATTAAGCTAAAATGAAAAGCAAAATAGTCAAACCAAAAATAGGAAGGGGGAGCTGAAAAGCAGTATTTCTCCCTCCCAGTTTCATGGACACATGTATAATGTTTACTTGTCTTGAAGGTACACAACTTTCTTGTCCCCCCCCCTTTTTTAAAAAAAAATTATTTCTTTGTGATTAGAAGAAGTGTCCCTGCTCCTTATCCTGTAACAATCAGGGCTGAGAAGCTTGAAAATATGTTTCCAAAGTCTGTTCTGCTCTGCGCTGTACTTTAAACCAACGATACCTCATTAAAGAAAAAAATATAAAAAAGGGAAAATAAACTAAGAAGAAAACCCCAGAGTGAAAAGCGATTTCCAGTATTGTTTGAGACATTTCTTTTCCTCTCAAAGCTGAATACATTCTTTCAATGCGATTTTAATTTTTTTTTTTCGAAATGAGAGACGGTCTGTGTTGGTTGTTGCTTTGCTCCGTTTTGAGTTATTTGGGTCACTTTATTTTATATTTATTTATTTATTTTTGGAGTGGGGGGGAAAGGCTGAGGGGGAAGAAGACTGATTGTTCATAAGTAAACCACAACAGGGTGGTTGAGGGGAAGGAGGAAGGCTGCAAGAGGAGAAGAGCTAGGCTCACGTCTTCATTTTTGCCCGTGGCTGCGGCTCGCATCGCGTCGAAATTTGGGGCCCACTGCCCTGCGACCCCCGAGCGGTCAAGCCGGCTAGACCCCCTGCCCCTGCCCGGGGGGCTGAGGGCTCCGTCCTGCGCTCCGCACCCTCCGGCAGAGTGACTAAATCCTCAACATTTTAGCTAGATGAGCCTGCTAACAAAGAGGAGAAGGAAAGAGAATAAATAAATAAATAAGAGGAAGAGGGAAAAACACAGACTAAAAGCTCAAGTTCCTCTTTTTTTTTTTTTTTTAATCAACCTATGAGTCCTCGTTAAAGTGCCTGGCTCCAGGCCGAGCGTTTCCCACTGATTTCTAACTCATTCGGGGGAAGTGCCGGGAAAGCCGGGCTCGCATAAACTCGAAATAAAGGGCAAGCTCTCCAAAACGGGTGTACTAGGCAAAATTGTCTGTGGCCAACGGTTAGTTTTTCCACTTTTCTCGTCCCTAGAAGTCTGCAAAGTATCTTTCAGGACTTGGTCTTTTGTTTTAGAGCCCGGAGCAAACTCTTTGTTCTTCCTCGGGGTTAGCCCAGTTCTCAGACTTGCACATGGCAATCCTTGAATATCCTCACGTCGTGATATTAAAGATGGATATTCCTGCATTATTCCCATCATTGTTTCAATGACAAAAAGCACAGAGTTCATACATAGTAAAGACGTCTCTTTTTCTGACGCCTTCACGTTGAGAAGCTGAAAAGGTATTTTACCGAAGTTCGGCTAAATTGCAGGAACAGGTTCACCCAGAGGACAAATTTTCTATTCGATTAGTTGTATTTCAGCCGGGAAGAGTGACCTCTAAACTCTTAACCTTTTGGACTCAAACTACTCTTCCCTTTCTCTGGCATGGAGAGCAGCCAGCAGCAGCGCTTGAGGAGGGAATTCCTTAGGCAACTTTGCAAGTTTTGTTCCATTCAGTTCTTGCAGCAGCAGCCCTCCATCTCCAGACTTGTCCAAAGCCCTGCCTTTACTTTTCATATGGAGTCATGGGTGGGGAAAAAAAAAAAAAAAAAACTTCTCTAGCTGCTCTTCTTGAAAATCCCCTTCACAGACTCCCGCTGTTTACTTAAGGTCCGTGATAAGCTCACTTGGAGCAACTCAAACATGTTATTTGAGAGACAGAGCTACTAACTTTGTCATCAGTGGGTACAATTCTGGAAAATAATGTCCGTGGATATGTAAAACCTTGCTTTGTGTTTCTTATCGCCTGGAATCGCTACCTAAGTTAAAGGGCTAAATCCTGCTCCCCGATTTCCCCCCTCCGCCCACTGAAGTCAAACAGGGATGTAGCTGCGAGCAGAATTTGTCTCACTGCCTTTTTTAATGGAAATGTCACAAAAAAATTCAGCAGCCCTGTCTGCAAATCCCCTCCGAGCGAGGCCCGGCACCGTGGTCCCCACCATGGTCACTGAGCGCCGAGAATGGGTGTTCTGGGGGAAGAAAGTACCAAAACAGACAAGCAGTTCTCTGAACGAGCAGGGATTTGTGCAGCATCGGGCATCCTGCCCCATGCAAAGCCATCGCGAGGCTGGGGCTGCGTTGCTTTCTAAAGTTCCTCAACAGTTATTCTGGGAGGAAGGGAAGAGGTTTACTTTTGTTTACCACGAGTAAAACGTTGTGTTGAAACCTTTTGTTAAAGGGTCGCAATTGTCCAGCAACCCCCTCATCTCTGTCAAAGTGTGATGCCTTTATAGACTTTAGCAATGTTTTTGCTGCCACTGATTAAAACGTTTTTTATACTAATTGTCGCCTGTAGTTTTAATGTAAGTACTCCATATATATTTGAAATAATAAAAGATGTAGAGAAATACAATCTGTTTTGTGCCTTGGACAAACAGTCCTTGCCAGGTGGGTCTCTCTCAGAGAAAATGCCTGTCCCTCCCATCATTACAGTGTTAAGAGATGAGTGACTCCGCATAGCATCCTCCCAAATGTCCCTTTGAACAGGTTTGCTGATTGCCCTAGCCATAATGGTGTGACTGTGGGCAAGCTGTAGTCTATATTTACATTGAGCCTGCAGTTAAAAGCGCCTATCACCCATTTGCTACTGCTTTGCATTTAACAAGCCCTCCTCGAATGACTCCCGGATTTATGCATGGGTGGTAGGAGCCAGGCAGGCGTACCTGAAGCCATCTCTCCATCCCCACACAGATGGGTATCTTTCAAGGGAGTTCAGGAAAAAAAATCAATTTAAAAAGTGGAAAATGAAAATGCAGCGAGTGGATTTGTCTGAGCAATAGGTTTCGCCTTTCCAGCTGTTACGAATGAAAGATCACGAGAAAAGGCAAACATTTAAACTTCCACGTGGTCCTAAGGCAAACAATATTTTATTTATTTATTTATTTTCCTCCCCGTGTGCTCACCTCAGAACGTAATACCTAGCTGGAGCTGCGAAGACTCTACCGCACTATTTGTGTCACTGGCTTTTGGCACAGAGGACTTGTCTTCCCTGGAGCGTGGTCAAGGCACGTGGCCAAAAATACAGTATCTTGCTCAGAGTGTGAAAGGAGCCTAATGTACAAAATAACGCATGTGCCCTTAATGCATGGAGTGCATGGGAGGGGGAGAAGGGGAGGTATATATAAGCATACACCAAGTTTAAATTTTCAGACATATTTTTTGATTATGCTTTCTCTGTCTCCTGTTTAATGGCTCCTCCTGTTACTACCAATACATCAATACACTTCTGTATATTATATCACCACTAGTCGTTAAGGTAAGAATGAAGAGGAAAGGCAGAGTCAATAGAAAACAGCACTCACTGTACAGTACAGTAAATAGGGACCTCTCGATGCAGAGCCACACAGCCTCCAACGGCCATGTTGCTTAGCCCTTTCCCCTGATTTTTTTTTTTTAAGCCTAGAGACCAAAATAATCTTGCTAGGAACAGTCATAACAGGCAGAATTTCAAAGTGCAAGGAAGATGATAAGAATAGATTTCTACAAGTCCTGACCACGTGATTTGCGAAATAATTAATTCAGCACGTCCCTTAAGAAACACGGAGTCGTCATTAATCTGCCAAGCAAAGGACTCTATCAGACTTGAAAACTGAAGAGATCCCAAGAATATAATATAGAAAGGGTGCAGTGCCTCTCTCTGCACACCTAGCTTTTTTCTAGCTGCCGAAAAAAAAAGAGACGCCGGGTATGTAAACATTATTATTATTACTACTATTTTTTTAACTTTTATTCCTCCTTATTTAAACCTTAATGAACTTAGCTGTCAAGCGCGTGACAAATAGGGCACGCCGCTTCCTCATGTGCGGCTCGGCAGCCGCGCTGGCCGCACGCGGTGACCTTTGCTTCCCGGTGGAGGGAAGCGGGAGAGCGCGGGGCGCCGCGGAGCGCCGCGGAGGCGGCGGGGGGTGGGGGGCGAAAAAGGCCGCCCCTGCCCCGCGTTCCGCTCCGCTTTGCCGCCTCGGCCGCGGGGGGTTCTGCTCCGCGGCTCCGGAGCCCGGGGGGAAGCACGAGTAGAGTCTCCCCTTTGGCTTTTGAGACCGATAGTGCGAATTGAAAGGAAATGTGGAGAGTGTGTTTTTATATAAAACCACGCGCCTCCCGACCTGTAATATACGGACCACAAGGCTCTGATTTCTCTATTAAATCCCGGAGTCAGCTGGAAGTACTTTCTGCAAACAGGATATTCTTTATTATCCCTTACTGGAGTAATTTCTAAAAAAACCCAGATTGTAG